ATGCAGGAAGTGAACAAATCTCAGGGTGTCGCAGTGTTGCAAATGAGCAGGCACTCTAGGCTAGGTGGCTCAGGATCTGTTTATTTTCAAGGCTGTGGAAGAAAAGGTAGAAGAGAGAAAAAGTGCATTATGGATTCCCACGCTGTGTCAGCCTTTGGCCAGCAAACTTATTAAGCAATATTTTAATGCTTCATTTACTTTGAAAAGACAAAATCTCATATTTCAAAATAACTATCCAACCCCAGATTGAGAAACCTTTCCCAAGAGGTATGATGGACTTCAATTTTAAATAAAGGGAGGTAATAAATGAGTCACTTTCCATCTGTTAAGAAAGACCTATATATTTCCAGATAACTTTGTTCTCCATCAAGGTATCTCATTTTCTTTCTGCCAAATAAAAGTACATTAAATCAAATTAAAATAAATAAATCAAGTTATATGAGAAAAAGTAGATATTGGTTTGAATTGATGGACATTGTTGAACATTTCTTCTTCATGTTATAACTTTCTTCCAGAACAAGTCACAGGGGCAAAAAAACTAGTTACACAAGCCGAGGCTGTGCACCCAACTGAGAGTGTTACTTGCATCTAGGTAGACTATTCTGTGCAGTGCAGGTTTGCCTCAGAGCCATTTCAAGAAAAAAGTTCCCATGGATTTCAGGGGAAATGTGCTGCTTGATTTGGCCAAATATGGAGCTCAGAAATGGAAAAAAGGAAAATCTTCAGCTTATCCTCACAGGATGACCTGGCAGTGTATCTCTTTACATGTGCCATCTTAGCCATCTTCTAAGTCAACCAAAGTGGTTAATTTGTGAGCAGGTTAAGTGATGTTTCTGGAAGTCACCTGTATCGGGTCCCTTTCACTCAATCTTCTTCATCTATGGTGCCCTTAAAATCAGTGGGTCTCCAAATTCTGTCTCAAACCTACTGTTCTTCTCTCTTCATAATTTGTCCTTTATCTCATTCACCTTCAACCATGGCTTAAACTATGCCTCATAGCAGTTAACTCCGTTTCAACCAGAGCCTCTCTTTTCCTGCATCTCTAACTGTCTGGCAAATAGTCCCACTTCTGTGAGCCATAACCACCTCCAATTCAGTGTTCCCCCCATTAACAGCCCCCCTTCTAATTCCCTCCGTCTTCTTATCAATAATAACAAAATGCTCCTTGCAGTTACTTTCCACTTCCCTCTTCCTTGATGTTGTACATTACCAGTCACAAAAGTTCATCAAATCCTCCTTCATGAGGATCTCATTCCCTTTTCCTGGAATCTGACAAATCAAGGAAAGAAGGAAGCCAATGGTGTGTCCCCATGATGTGAAAGGAGCCAAGAGATGGTTCCTAACTGGGTTAGGAGGTCACTTGGAATGCAAGACACAGATGTAGTCCAAAGGTTAAGCACAGAACAAAGCCAAAGATAGGAGCCAAAGTTGACACCAGAATAGTAAGATCAGCTGTCCATCAGACCTACAGGACAGGTGGGAGGACATAGTGAGAAGGAGGTCAAGTAGTCAGGAACCAAGGACCCGGTCTGTTTTGTTCATCTTTGAATCCCCAGAACCTAGCACATAGTCAGCTCACAGTAGGCACCCAATGAATGCCATATAATCCCAAATACAAGGCATTGTTTATAAACTCTCATTCAAGACCTCATATTAAGCAATGCTCTCTCACTGTCATTATTTGAGACACCAGGTAATGTTTGGGGAAGACATATGAGACCAGAGCAACATCCATCCACATTAATTTAGAGTATCTAGAGAAGCAACCTGATAGAATGCATAAATAAGGAGGCAAGGAATTTTAATGAGATTTAATAATATCTCATGGGGGTTTTGACTTAACAACTCAAGTGTTCAATGTCATTATAAAAAGGCTTTTTAAAAATTGCTTTAAAAACAAGTGATGTAGACATAAGAAATACTCATCTACAGACAGAGTTTTTTCATTGTCATGTATCTTGTGGCTTGGGATAAAACTTGCAGTGACTAAGCCACATGGAGATTTCCAAAATACTGCAGCTCAAAAAACATAGGGGAAAGGAAGGTGACATACTCTGGAAACTGTGTTGATGGAATTAAACAGTGCTTATAGTGGCAACAAAGATTATGACAGTAGCAAAAACAATGCTTCTAATTAATAAGATTTTATATAATGCATCATTCTAAATATATATGTGTAAGTTAAATTAATGCATTAAATATTAGTAGACATTTGAATTTCCTGTAAGTCACTAAAAGTTATATATTCCAAGTGGTCAAAACACTTATTGAGAAATGTGGAATCTGGACATTGCATTATGATTGTTGAGTGAAATAATGAATTAATGTATAAATACTTATTAAAGACTAAAAATTAATCTTATCCTTAGGAATAATTTACTCATTAATCCACTGAGCTAATATTGGTTATGTCACTATGTGCAAAGCAGTTAAACAGGAATCAGAATGGTTTGGTACTAAAAGTTATGTTCCACTGGAATATTGACACCTAATATAAAGAAAGAAATACCTCCTGTAACTTTCTGTTATAAAAAATTTCAAACACACACAAAAGTGAAAAAATAATGTAACAAATATTCATATGATCTCCACCTAGATTCAACAGTTATTTTTTTTTTAAGAGAGAGAGAGAGTGGAGAGAGGGGCAGCAGGAGAGGGAGAGAGACACTCATAAGCAGGAACCACACTTAGCACGGAGCTTGACATGGGGCTAATCTCACAACCCTGAGACGATGACCTGAGCCAAAATCAAGAGTGGACACTTAACCAACTGAGCCACACAGGCGCCCCATAGACTCAACAGTTATTAACATTTTCCCAAAGTTGCTTCATAGATATATTTTATTTTTGATGGACCATTTGAAAAAAAAATTACAGGTGTCATAACATTTAATTCCCCTAATACTTCAGCATGCACTGAAGTATTTCCTCATATAACTGTAATACTACTATCACTCCTAACAAAATGAACAATAATTTCTTAATAAGATATATATCCAGTCCATATTTGGATTTATGCAGTTGTTCAAAATATGTATTTTTTAACCAAGTTTTTACAACAAAACAGGATCCAATGAAAGAACACACACTGCATTGGGTTATGTCTTTTAAGTCCCCTCCACCACCCCTCTTTTTTCCTTCTTTTGTCCAGGTTTATTGAGGTATAATTAACAAATAAAAATGTATATATTCAAGATGTAAAATGTTATTTGATATATGTAAACATTGTGAAATTATTACCACAGCCAAGCTAATTAAACATCCATCACCTCACCTGGTTACCACTTTTTGTGTGTGGTGAGAGTGTTATTAACTGTAGTAACCATGCTGTACATTAGATCCCAGAACTTATTCATCTTATAACTGAAGACTTACATACTTTGACCAACATCTCCCAATTTCCCCTATTTCCTGTCCCTGGTAACCACCATTCTACTCTCTGCTTCTGTGAGTTCAGCTTTCTTAGATTCCACATATAAGTAAGATCATGCAGTATTTGTCTTTCTGTGCCTGGTTCATTTCATTTAGCATAATGTAATCCAGATTCATTTATGTTGTTACAAACGGCAGGATTTCCTTCTTTTTTGTGGTTAAATAATATTCTACAATATTTTATATTCTTTATCCATTCATCCATCTACAGACACTTAGATTATTTCTGTATCTTGGTTATAAAAAATGATGCAATGAACTTGGAGGTACAGATATCTCTTCAAGACACTGATTTCATTTCCTGTGGATATATACCCAGAACTGGGATGGCTGGATCATGTGTTATTTCTATTTTTTTAATTTTTTGAGAAACCTCATACGGGTTGTACATTTTCATAATGGTTGTACGAACTTATATTCCCACCAACAGTGTACAAGGGTTGCCTCTTCTCCACATCCTCACCCACACTTGTTATCATTTACCTTTTCGATAGTAACCACACCCTAATACGTGTTAGGTGGTATCTCATTGTGGTTTTCATTTGCATTTCCCTGATGATTAGTGATGTTGAGTACCTTTTCATATACCTATTGGCCATTTGTAGGTCTTCTTTGGGAAAATGTCTATTCAGGACCTTGCCCATTTTTAAGTCAGGTTATATAAGGGGTTTTTAGTTGTATGAGTTCTTTATTTTATTTTATTTTATTTTATTTTTATTTATTTTTATTGTTTTTTAAAGATTTTATTTATTTATTTGAGAGAGAGAGAATGAGAGACAGAGAGCATGAGAGGGAGGAGAGTCAGAGGGAGAAGCAGACTCCCTGCCGAGCAGGGAGCCCGATGCGGGACTCGATCCCGGGACTCCAGGATCATGACCTGAGCCGAAGGCAGTCGCCTAACCAACTGAGCCACCCAGGCGCCCCTAGTTCTTTATTTTAGATATTAACCGCTTATCATATATTTGGTTTGCAAATATTTCCTCCCATTCCATTGGGTTGCCTTTTCATTTTGTTGATAATTTCCTTTGCTGTGCACATGTGGATTATCTGATTGTTTCCTCATGAAGTCATTTGCCACATCCCCTTATCTTGATGTTTCTTGTGAAATGGAAGTTATATATAAAAACTTGACTAAATTCAGGTTAAATGCATCATTAGTGTATTGAATATTACATTATGATAAGAGCACAGATGCTCTTGTTCCAACATTGGTAATGGAATTTGATCACCCGGTCAAGGTAGTAACCTCAGATTTGTGATCAGGCAGTAACCGATGGGGTGATACTTTGGCATCTTGCAAAAACTGTATTCCTCATTAACTTTTCACTTACTGGATTTAGCATCTGTTGAGAATTTTTGCCTGAATCAATTATTTTATTGGGGGTTGTAAAATAAAATATACCTTTCTGATTACTCTTTTTCATGATCAACTTCCACTTTTCTTTAAGCACTTTTTATGATCCTAAACATGTCCTTTGAAAGTTAAAATTTTCAAAGTCAAAAATTTTAAATATATATTTTATTGTAATGGAAGAGAACTAACCTTCTGTTTTCTTTTGCATTTTCAGCAAAATGGGAGGCCACATTTTTACAAGCCAATTGTTGAATCCTTTGAGGAAGCACCTCTTCACGTTATGGTTTTCACTTACTTGGGATATGGACTTGGAACCCTATTTGGCTATCTCAGAGACTTTTTGAGGAGCTGCGGGATAGAAAAGTGTAACGCAGCCATAGAGCGAGAAGAACAAAAAGTATGTATGTGTACCTCCTTGGATCTTTGTCAATGCATATTCTTCTCTTAAGTGTTCTCAGAAGTGTACAGATCCTAAAAAAGAGTGAGGCACTCAGGAACCACTCAGGATAAATTCTATTCATCTCCACCCCATAAACTCCATCCTCCATGTGTCACACTTTGTTTTTTTAACAAATATTTTATTGAGCAACTACTATTCACCAGACACTGAACTAAGGGTTTTCTCATACATCATCATATTTAATTTTTATAACAATCCCATGAGACAGGTATTAAATTACCATTTTAAAGATGAAAAAATCAAAATATAAGAACAAAGGTTTTTGGATAGGACTGGACTCTGGTCTTCTTGTTGTAAGATTAATATTGTTTATGTTCTAGAAAAGTGTGCCTGAGTGAAATATGAAATTTTAATTTCAGTTAGGTCATGGTTTCTCAACTTTGGTAAAATTGACATTTTGGATTGGATAATTCTTTGATGTAGAAGGCTGCCCTGTGCATTGTAGGGTTTTTAACAGCACCCCTGACCTCTATTCATATCAATGAATTAGCATTCTACCACACACTTGTGACAATCAAACATTTCTCCAGACATTGTCAAATGGTGTCATGAAGTGCAAAAAATGCCAATTTAGAACCACTAATCTAGATACTTTTGATAGTTAACCCACAAAAGTCTACATCATCCTCTTTTCACATAGAGCTATAAGGACAACCTAGAAAATATTCAGGGATCTGTAAAGAGCCTGCATTTTCCTAACAAATTCTCCGAATTGATTCGTATGATTTATGATGCCCTGAATTCCTTTTTTCTAAAAATTGCTTTGAAATACTATGATGATTATGGACATGGATCATTCCACATGATGGAGCCTTAAACACATCTAAGCAAAGAACATAGGGAAAGAAAACATGGTGTGAAAGAGGTAAGAGAAAGCATTGTACATTCAAGAAACCAAAGAATTCCAATGACTGGACTATTGTGAGTGACAGTGGGAGTATGTGGGGAGAAAGATTGTTTGAGAGGCAAGTAGGGACCAGACTATAATGGGTTTTTATAAGCCAAAGATATTTATTATAAGAACAATGGGTACGCATTGAAGGAATTCAGGCAGAGGAATGCAGATTTGTAAATTAGAAAGACCATGTTCACTGGCCTATGAAAAAGGGATTGCAGGACAGCACAGACCAAAAAACCAGTTAAGAGACTGATGCAGAAAGCCAGCTTAAAAATTAAAAAAACTAGATGAGACCTTGTGGTAAATCCAGGGGTGGTAGTAAGAGATAAGGCCAAAAGATGTTAAAGAAGATGGAATTAAGGATGATTGGCTTGACTTGGGGAATTAAGGAGATAGACAAATCAAAGATCACACCCAGGTCTATGCCTTGGGCAGCTGGGCAGAAAGAAGGTTGTGACATTCATTGAAATGGGGAATAGAGGAGGAAGAGCCAGTTGGAGGGGAAAATGGTCAGTTCCTTTTTTGACACGTTGAGAATTGGCAGATATAAAGGTCTTGATGCCTGGAGAAAAGTCCCAGATGAATACTGTGTCATCTGTAGCATATCTTAAGCATATCAACATTAATCAAAGCCACAAAAGTAGATGAGATCTCCCAAGGAAGGTCTATAGAGAAAAAAGAGGAAGGGAGAGACAAGAATGAAGAACTTTAGAGAATTTAATAGATGTAAGAGATGGAATTCCAATTCAAGACTAGAAGCAAAGTGACTATTTAAAAAGCCTTAAAATAGTTTAGGAAAGAGATATTTGTCCTTAAACTGGTGAAGAGGTAGATGGAATGAAGAAAAGGGAATTTTGGAGATATTTAGGAGGTAGATATAGAAAATAAGATAAAGGGAAGAAACCAGAGTAATCCCAACTTTCTACTTTGGTCAGACAGGAGAATGGTGGTGGCACACCCATCACAATGGCAAAGTTTTATATTAGCAAAAATATGTGCACAGATATAGTTTTGAGGATGTACAAGTCTGTAAATGGCAAAGGATATAGAAACAGTTGAATCTAGTAGGAATTGATAATGAAATGGGAGACTAGGATAAGAAAAGCAAGTTCTTCTTGGCCATTCTCACGAGGATCCCCACAGCCCCTCCCTGACACCAGCCGGTGTGTTCTAGAAGTTCTTATCACCAATCTGCTTGCTCCCCAAGTGTAGGTAACTGGTGCACAATAGATCAGCACATTTTAGAATATTTACTGGGACAGAGGGTGAGTCAAATGTAAATTTCTCAGGTGTGGCATCCCTTAGCAGGCTTAGGCTTCAGCTCTGCCATCTATTTTCTACCCTGTGCCAATATTTTTGCTCTAGCAACCAGCAGTGCTAGTCACTTTGGTCTTTCCAAAGCATTTCTTACATTTCAAGCAGAACATATTTATATACGGGCAAATTGGTTCCCAGGGATACAGATTCTGAGATGGAGGTGTGAGGGCAGAAAGGTTTCTGTGGTGTGCTCCTGGAAGCAACACCCATACACCTGCCAGGGAGCAAAGGGAGCAAGATGAGACAGGTGAGCTGTGATGCAGTCCCAGCCAAGGCCTCAGTGGATCCCACAGGGAGCTCTGGAGATAGGAGGGCCCTTCAGAAGCATTCCTCACAGATGGCAGGGTGTGGAGCCTCCAGCGATGATAGATGGGGGTTACCACCATAGAGGGATGTGATCCCGAATCAGGCAGCTCCCTTTAGCAAGCTGTCTGTCTCCAGTACTCCCAGCACTGGGGGAATGGGTGCCTAGTCCCGAACAATGGGATACAGTGAGGGCGACCAGGGCTGCAAGCACTGCTCGAACCATCTCCCAGGAAGAAGACATTGCATCAAATAAATAAATGCCCTGTATTTCTTTACAAAATAAATGATTTCCCTCCTGTTTGATCTCTGTGAGGTAGAGAGCATCAGTCAATTGACTCACCTTGGTGGTCATACTTTTCACATGGCACACTTTTTATTATATGTTCCTTCCTTTTGAGCCCCTTTAGACATTTATAGCCTTTCAGGGTAACTGGTTTTAATAAATTGCAATGGCTGCAGTCACTATATTCTTTTTGATGGGACTTGGTCACTAGAAACCCTACCTTCAGGCTGACCTTTAGCCTTTTACTATTTTTCCCCAGCCCTGTACTTCTGACAGTATCCTTGCTTTGTGTTAATAAGCTCCTTAAGGCACATCTTGAAGTCTCTTGCTGGAAACACACTGCTTTCCAATGACTCCTGGTTCTCCTAGCAGAAATGAGCATTATATTCTATTCTAAAAGCTGGTCACTGAGAGAGCAGAATGAATCGTCCCTTAAGACAAACCAGCCAAGAGCAAAATAACACCAGGAAGAAAAGCACATCCATAAGATGGTGGCGGAGAATAGCAATTATGTTTTTCAAAAAGATCATAAAGATATGCCTGATTCTGATTACACTCTTCTACTCTGTGTGCATTCTTTTTATTTTTAATAAAAGTTGTATATATTTAAGTGTAAAAAATGATATTTTGATAAAAATATGCAGAGCAAAATGATTGTTGTAGTCAAGCTAATTGACATGCCCCTCTCCTCATTTCTTTCTTGTTTTAATCAAATACAAGAGTTTATTAACCCAGTTTTCCTATTTTCTCCCTCACTGGGATGACTTCTCTCATATCAAACCATCCATTCAAACTAAAGTGTTGCCCCGAATTTAAAATCTTTTTGCATTCTTCTTCTTTTTGATTTCTAGCCCAAACACCCTGAAGCTGACTCCAAAACATGAAGGCTCTGACAATCCTTTTATCTAGATCACTTGGTTACTGATTCACTTAGTATTACTGATTCACTTAGTATAAACTAAGTGAAAAGAAAAAAAAAATCAAAACCTTCCTCCAGAAGAGCACTGAAAAACAAATCACAGGCCCAGGATATCTGGCACGTCAGATAGACTCCACTAACAATCAGAAGACACTGACAAAGAATAGGACAATACAGACAGGTACAAGGTTTAAATATTCTCGCTTACATTCTCCTTTTAACTCTTAATTTTGGGGACCCATGTATCTTTTATTTAAAATCAAAGGCCACCGCTCTGATGAATTGCAATTCATTAAAGACGTCTAGATAAATCACTTTCTCAATGATGCAATGACTTAACTTTGTAAAATCCAGAAGAAGGTGTCAGCAAATATAATCATCAAATGAATGTCAAGCATCATCAGATACTTGAAAAACTTCAAGCACAGCCGCATTTCTCAATCCCTATGGTTTGACAACAGGTTCAGCAAGACCTGCTCCACAGGGTACCAGCCTGTTAGAAAATATTGCAGTGCAATTCTGTGTTCACACTAGATCCAGAGAGTCCCTGTAGCTCCCCTACAAGTACATCCCAGACATTTCTGGCCCATCCCCAGAGATTTTTACTCCCACGTGAAACAAAGAGGGTTCAGCAAGTTGTAACTGTAAAGAATTTTAAGACAAATGTCCAAAGGTTTGCATGAATTAAAAATTGCCCTTTTGCATCCACATTTTGCATCCTGATATGATAGCAGGATTCACCCAGAGAGACTTTCTTCTGAGTAATTTGAAGGATGAGTTCCATTAAGGTCACTGGGTATGAGTTTTGTCCAAAGCAAACAGATGGCCCAAGCACTGGTTTTCCTGTTTGGACCTGGGTGAGTCCAAACTCAGAGAGCTTTCATTGGGGTTTCCCCGGGAACTTAACATATTAGCCAGCAGCTTGTGAGATGGTAATATTAGACCAGTGATTCTCAGCCTATGCTGCACATTGGACTCACCTAAGAAGTTTTAAAAGAGGTTTTGGAGAAAGGGGAAACCTCTTACACTGTTGGTGGGAATGCAAGTTGGTACAGCCACTTTGGAAAACAGTGTGGAGGTTCCTCAAAAATTTAAAAATAGAGCTACCCTATGACCCAGCAATTGCACTCCTGGGTATTTACCCCAAAGACACAGATGTAGTGAAAAGGAGGGCTGTATGCACCCCAATGTTCATAGCAGCAATGTCCACGATA